CCTACCGAATCATCGGGGAGATATTCAGACATTATTTTATCAACTAGTATCTGATTGTTTTGGCAAACAAGACAAAATTCAAAAGGATAATTAAATTGATTGCCCATATTTTCTTATAAAAAAATTAGACTGTAGTATGAGACATAAAATGTATTAATAAAAAACAATTACAAATGGATGCTATGGAATAAAAAGAATATCGAACAACATATATCTAATAGAGCTGAAAGAATATGTGTATGAATAATAAAAGCATAATTTGGCTAAAAATCAACTGATCTTTTTAGCTGTATAGTAATTATTAGTGTAAACAATATAATAGGCAAGGAAGAACAATTAAAATCAAAAATGGAAATTTAAGGATGGTAAAAATTTCAAAAATTAATTTTTTGTAAAATATCAAAATGAAATTTAATTGGCTACTTTGAGAACGGTATTAAAAAATTCGCAATTTTAAGATTTTTTAAGAATGAAAATGCTTAATCTATGTTAGGACTGATTCATGCATATACGCCCTTTTTTATAACAGGACTGGTATTTTTAAACCCCATATACATTTGAGGTATTATGCTAAAATTTTCATAGTTTTGATATATCATTAATATTATATTATTATCTAATTTTACAGTTAGTGTATCTATTTAACATTTGAAAGCTAATTAGTTATTAATTAAAACAAATATAAAATTGATACTTTTGTAACTGAATAAGGCGCCAAAAAATATTTTTGTAAAACAGCAATCGGGGTAAGACATAGCCTAGTGGCAATTTTCTTAAGCGACATTACACAGCAACGAGTTCAACCTTGCTGCAGCCACAAATATGACTTGATCACAAGTTTATATATAATAGTTGATTCTAATGGTTTGTAGATACATTATTAATATTATAAGCCAATTCACAATTTGCGTTATTTGTTCACATTAAAAATGAGCTCATATTAGCCTCTATGAAGAGGAAGGTTTTTAAAAACAGTAATGGGTTCAAAAAACAAAACTATATTACTTTTTAAATAGGTATCTTTAAAAAATCTGTCACAATATTTCTATTACCAAGTAACTAAGGATTTTTTTGTGGTATAACCTAAAATCAATTTTGCATGGATTTTCAATTATATGCCATTTAAAAATTTTTGCCTATGAGAAACCTTCCAGAAATTAATTTTAATATATGATCAAAAAATGGCAAATAGTAATTAATCATTTGCTAATGTAAAAATTAAATTATTTTACTCCATTAATCATTTGCTAATGTAAAAATTAAATTATTTTACTCCATTAATCATTTGCTAATGTAAAAATTAAATTATTTTACTCCATTAATCATTTGCTAATGTAAAAATTAAATTATTTTACTCCATTAATCATTTGCTAATGTAAAAATTAAATTATTTTACTCCATTAATCATTTGCTAATGTAAAAATTAAATTATTTTACTCCATTAATCATTTGCTAATGTAAAAATTAAATTATTTTACTCCATTAATCATTTGCTAATGTAAAAATTAAATTATTTTACTCCATTAATCATTTGCTAATGTAAAAATTAAATTATTTTACTCCATTAATCATTTGCTAATGTAAAAATTAAATTATTTTACTCCATTAATCATTTGCTAATGTAAAAATTAAATTATTTTACTCCATTAATCATTTGCTAATGTAAAAATTAAATGCTTTTTCTTAATTAATCATTTAATATTTTTATGGTAAATAGCAAAGTAAACCATAAAAAGCTAATAGGTTGGGTAGTATGTTTATTCGTGAAATAAAAAAAAGAGTTTAATATATCTAATAGAATCAAAAAACTTTATAGTCT